AGGACCAGCTACTCCAAGCTGCAAACATCCCCCCAAGCTCCCAGAGCACTTTTTAAGGTTTGTTTTCCTGCAAAAATTTGGCACCTGCCAAACATAATTCCTAAGAGGCTTTTGGGTTGCTTGGGTCACCACGTTTTGGTGAAGCCATTACACAGCTACATCACTTTGTTGGCACTTCACACATGCCATTTGCTCATCCAACTGAGCTGACTTACCTAACTAACCTTTCTTAAGACCTGTGGTTTGCATGTCTGCAGCTAGGCCATTTTCAGTTTGATGCTGCTCCTGGCCAAGCAGATTTATTTTTCACCTCAAGCCTATTGGGTCACTGAGTATGCAATTTGACAAGCCATGTAAAATTAAAGCTTTTGCTCTCTTTAAAAAAAAAAAAGTTTTAAACATATGTTTCACAGAAAGTGAATGCTGAAAGAGGCCACCAGGCTCTGAAACCACCATTTTCAGTTCTTACTTCTGTTTCGGTTACTGTGATGCAGGTCTCCAGGGCTGCTGCTTGACTGGCTGTCCTCTGAGGTGGGGCTGAACCCTGGGTTCACCAGCCCTGGCTCGTCTGTCATTAAGGCGATGGCTGCAGCTGCTGAGAGCTCGGGGCCCAGGGCGGCTATTTCCGATCCTTGGTAAGGCCATAGTGGGATGCTCCTTTACATCTAAGGAGAAAGGAGGGAAAGGGACACATGATAACATTTAAATGTTGTGTACTTATGGAAATTATCCAGTGGCGAGGAATCACTCGGAGTACAAACTGTGATGATTACGGTGGCCGATGAAATATGGACACTTAACAAGAGGGAAAAATGCCAGTCTCATCCGATCCTTGGTAAGGCCATAGTGGGATGCTCCTTTACATCTAAGGAGAAAGGAGGGAAAGGGACACATGATAACATTTAAATGTTGTGTACTTATGGAAATTATCCAGTGGCGAGGAATCACTCGGAGTACAAACTGTGATGATTACGGTGGCCGATGAAATATGGACACTTAACAAGAGGGAAAAATGCCAGTCTCATTATGCTACACAGGATCAAAAAGAAGTAAAACTTTCCTCCAAATTAGTTGAATTACCACCTTATATGCAAACACTACTGCTGGTCAAGAAAAAAGAGCCACAGTCTTGCATGTAGTCTCGTGTATAAATAGTTACTGTGGATGCAAGAGGACAGGAATAGCAAGTGGCTAATTAAAGCACAGCCTACAGTCTATTATTTTCCCCTTGCCTCTCGTCAATGGAAGAGACCAGGGTGAGGCCTGATAGCTTCTCCAGGTCTGCTGGTGAAGTAAAAGGCAGCTTACCCAGCCCTGTGGCCTGAAAAACATTCCCAGTCACCAGGGTGGTCACACCAGGAGCACAGGACTGTGGTCCTTCATCCAGGAAGCAGGGTCTACCCTTCAGGTAGAGGCCAATGCAATCAATGAAGCGAGGGCTGCGGGCAGCAGTTGAACACCCGGGGTCTGTGGGAATCAAGTCCCCATGCAGTGCCTGTACAGACCATTTACTGCTTGAACTGCATCTGATGAATTATTTACAAATCCAGCCATGGAGACGCAGTTTCCAGCTCTGCTATTCCGGGTCATTTGAGACACTAAAATAGAGGGGTTCTCTCCTTGATGGAGGAAGAGGTGCAAGAGGTAGTGGGAAGGTCCCACTGGCCCTACAGCCCTGCCAGAGCCAAGGATGGAGCGCAGAGCTGCCACCGAATGACTGAGTGCAGGTCCTCAGACTTCAGACCAATGTTCTTGAGGCCAGCCTGGGACTCCACCAGTTTAGGCAGCTCAAGGCTAGTTCTAAATAATTCCAGAGAAAAATCCAAATCCTAAATCTTGACTCAACAAAATCCTCTGTTTCTGGTGAAGAAATGCGTGGTCCCAGAAGAGCTGAAGATACAGCACTGTAAGAGGCAAATTACAAGCCTTCTTTGAGACAGCTTACTTGTGGTCCCAACTCTCTGCTCTAGATTCAGCCTAGACAGCAAAGGCAGGACCACACATTGCATTTCTTTAAGATTTGTTAAAGAAAGTCACTTGAACAAAACTAAAGATTGCTGTGTGCTTCATGAGTCAGTATTTAATTGAAGTTATAAAATAACTGAAAAGACAGAGTGGCCCAAGGACACAGCACCTGTCACTTTTCTCCAGCACCACTTCCATCCAGCGCCCACCCACTAGAACCTCATTCACTACATTAAAAAATATAATCTGCCTTTTAATCGTAACCTAATGAGCTTGGACAACTTTCAGTTAATACTATCTCTTTCTTCATAGCAAAGGCTAACTGATGACTTTCATAAAAATGCCCTGTAGGACGAACTCACAGAAATAGCTGAAGTAAACCCTTAGGAGAGAAAGTTCTTTGTAATATAGACATGCATAGAAGGCAATGCATAATACATACAGTACACAGAGCTAGTGGGTTAAGTGTCAGAAAAAGGAGTAGTACACTGAGCAGAGGACTTGGAAGAGAAATTATTTATGAAAGCAGTTGCTGGGACAGAAAGATGAGATGAGGACGAGTCACACATCTCTCTATATCAGCTTTGGTGCAGCAGTTTAATTTCTCTTATGGCATTGGCTTTTTATGAGACAATTGAATTAAAAACTTCTTTTAGCACTAAATTATGATTTACCATCATTTACCTCATACTGCTTCTGACAATATCCATCTTAAAGGGGGAATAAAAAACCCAACACAAAATGTATCAAACTCATGCAGCTCTGTAAGGGCTTTGTATATGCTTTAAGGTTTGGATGGGAATGGCTGTGGCAGAAGTTATTTCTAAAACCTTTCACAAGCAAGAGGAGGTGTCTCAAAAAAAACCAACCAACAAACCTCCTGTGGAAGAGAAGGTTGGCCAATACTTTACAAAAGATCAAATAAAGCTATTTGGGGCACCTATTCCAAGATGAGACTGCAACAATAATCATGTAAAACAGAAAAGAAGAGCTCTCCTGCCTCCCTTGCAGCAGGCATTTTCCCATTTCTTTTCCCAAAAAGAGGCCTGACTTCCTCATTAGCTTGAGCTGCTGGAAGCTGCACACTCTGGCAGTATCCCACACCCCAGCAGGATGCTCTCCTTTTTATTTAATAGGGAGTGGAACCACAAAGGCCTCCCCCTCTTGCAGCCTACCTAAACTTTTCCAATGCAGCAATTTAGGAAACCAGTTACACAGCATCCTTGGCCTCTCCCACTTGCAGTGGGGTCACATTTACTAATCCAACCTATGAATGCTCAACAAAATAGTTAAAAATAGTCTAAAAAGCCACCACAATGAAATATACACGATGAAATGGCTTCGGAGTGAATTGCTTGTTGTTGTCAAAAAATAATCTCTACCTTACAGACATCCTGTAAAGATTCAGAATATGGTAAGAGATATTTCTACTCCACATTTTATTTTCCTCTGTTTTCACTATACCAGTAAGTTTCAGTAGATATTTGGGCACCAGCCTTGTGAATGGGTCCTCAAAAGAAGATATTTTTTTAGTTTTTAGTGTATTGAAGTGCATGAAGATCAACATGAAGACCAGAAGAGGCTCTGCCCAAATATTCCTGGCTCTATGGATTCAGCCACTGCCTGGTGCCCATCTGCACTTCATTACTAAAGCCTTCACTCTCTGTGGCAATCCACACTTGCTGCTGCTGGTTGCACTGCAGACACCCAGTTAACAGCATCAATCCCACAGCAACGAACAGAAGACAGTCACTCTAAATGTTGAGGGGGCTGACAGTTTAAGATGTGGCTTACTGGAGAAGACAAGTTGCCAGGATACAAAACACAAGGCATATCTTTCTAACTCTGCTAGAAATAGTTAAAGGAGAACGAAAGCTCTTCAAGTACCAGCACTGAAGCTATTCCTCAAATAATTGGGGCAGTCATAAATGAACACAAATCAAGCCCTCTTTCTCCAGATTAACACAGTGTCCTTGAAGAAGAAAAAAAAAAGTCCCAAGCTCTCAACCTTGTAATAAAATCTGCAACAGCATCTCTTCACTTTCATTGTTTTCCTTGTGCTGACACTGCTGTGATAACAGAAGACAGAAGAGACGACTGTCTAAGTGGAATCATATTTATAGAGTCTCAGCTACATTTTTCCATATGGCTGGATTTGGCTCACAGGAAAGAGGGATTCATAAAACAGCTACATGCCAGTACTAATTACCTCTCTCACTGTGATTATTAATCAGCTGTCTGATTTACAGCTGGAAGAATGGGATACCTGATTAACATAGGCCAGTCAGAAAGCAAACCCAAATGCTGTCTGGTGCCCAAGGTGAACTGCAGATTTATGTTCTTTCTCAGCTGTGCCGAGCAGCGAGTACATCCATGCAGCCATACGATACTGAAACAATTTGAAGGCCAAAACTGAGACAGATAAACAGACACGAATAATGTGTGTTGTACAGTTCATGCCGTTAAAGTAGTGTCACTAGATGCTTACAGGAAATTCAGAAAATGCTTTCTTCTGTTTACACAGCTGTTTTATGAAGCAGAATTTGCTGTCCTAAACACTGGCCATATGAACTAACCACTAGGCAGTGAGAGGGCAGTGGTGGCCGCTGAAACTTCACCTGGGGCTGCAATTCTGGCTGGCTTCAACACTGGTGGCCACAGGGCAAGCCTCACGCCACATCCTACTCCACACATAGGGGCAGCTCTGCAGTCAAGTCCTAAGGAGTAGCACATCCCAAGTGCTGGAGCCAGGAGATTCAAAACCCTGTGGCTGCTTTAAGTCAGCCCTACCATTTGTAAAAACAAGCTTTGGTCAAACTGAAAGTCAACAGAAATGTTTCTACATTATTTGCAAATTCAAATTAAAACAGTGGTTTGAAAACAGAGATGTGTTTCCCTTGCAGCATCCCTAACTTGCACAGCGTAGCGAGGAGAGCCTGAAAGCAAGGTTGACCTTGAAGAGTTCCATCAGTCAGACTGACACAAGGGTCACATCTAAAGGCAAAACATAAGCAAGGACAACTGCATGGATTTTTCACCTCTCTTCTAATGATCTAAATGAAACAAAATCACAGGCAAAAAAATAATATGTATATAACGCCTTTGCTCTTTTAAAAATGCCCTACTTTCTATTTGTGTCACTTCTCACTGTCTCACACTTGACTGCCTGGGCAGGAAATAGGTGAAAAATGTGGGTCTAGAGAGTGCCAGTGCTTGTGAGCCAGGTCTGGCACTAATAAACAGAGCAGGAGCACTTCCTGGCCAGTTCCAGCAGGGAACATTTGCAACCTCGCTCATATTTCGGTGCTGTTTTGCCTTAGAGCAGCAGCAATGGACACATTGTCTAAGCGCAAGTAAGAATAACATATAAAAAGCATTCACAATTGCCCAGCAGAAGAAAATACTGCATAATGGGCTGTCACCACTGATCCAAAGCTAACCCTGGTCAGGGTAGATAAGTACAGTTCAGCAATGCCCTCACTGCAAACAGTCTCATCCCCATGTAATTTGGGCTTGACACAAGACGGGATCAGAAGGATCAACAGTATATATTACACCCCAGATCCATCACGCAAACTCCCCCAGCCACTCTGGTACTCCCAAACTGATCTGTCGAAAAGGCTGATGAAGAAACTGAAGGTGGCCAACAAGGAGATTTTTGGATAAACTGGTGCTGGTAACCTCACTTGTGGGACCTGGTGAGAGGCTCCTGCTGCGTCTGGGAAGGAAGGGGATATTTGTTGCAGAGAGGTTGACTCAGAAGAAGATGTTGGCAATTCCTGCCTCATGGGAACCATTCTCACCATGAGTGCAACAGCAGTGAGTGTAGCCCAAACATAACCCAACCATACGAATTTCAGGTCTAAACTCCAAAGCTCTCTGAAACTCCACCCTAAGGGA